TCAGGAGACGAAACTCTTAATCATCAACCATAACTTCCCTTTGCATAGTAGTTGGATTGATCCAGAATCTGGATTTTCTTGTCCACATAGCGGTTACATTAGAGATGTTGCCTTCATCTCTACTCATCTCATCTCCATATCTCCTATACTAAATAGTTTGCTCCATCTTAACAACAAAACCCTTGCCCTGTTTGAGATGTCTCCCTACATAATTAATCTCCTAAACCCAAGTACTCCATTACTTCTCTCTCTCTCCCCCAACATGGGCTCCCATCAACCTTCCTGGAAATCTACCCACACAAACGCCATCAATGACCCCATGCATGAAAGCTCCATTACTGGTCGAAATTGTAACCTCCACCTTTGTAAAACATATACAATTTCAGGCACGAAAACAATGTTCCATTCATTCATAAAATTCTCCATATAAGAAAATTCAGGTTGTGAGCCCTGGTTTGGAGGACCTTCGAAATAATTGCCTACAAAGTGGTTTGAGCCCTTGGTAAACTAGGGTTTTGAAGCCCACAAAGGAAGGTAGCATAGTAAGTCCGGGATGAGGGCAAGGTAACAGAGCATGGGGCTGGATACCAAACGCCGAAGAGGATAGGGAATAATATGCCTGAGAACAAACGGAAAGACCATCTTGTGCAACAAGATTGTGGACGCACTATGCAGCAACAAACGGAAAGACCATCTTGAACTTAACTCAGTTGCAAATGGGGCGGATAATGTGAATACCAATGATGAACTTGATCTTAGAATAGCCAGTGTTCTCAAAAGCACAGGTTATAAATACCAAGGCGGACTTTGGACTGATTCAACAACGAAAGACTTTGAGGGTCAAAACACAATGTTGCTGTCGTGACTACTGCAAGTCTTCCTTGGATGACTGGAATTGAACAAAAGAGACATGCACAAGCGTTGAGGAAGGGGGAGTGTTGGGAACTTGAACTCCGCTTCCCTTCTGATGGTGCCACTTCAGCCATGGCCTCTCTTTCTCTGTTTGTACGGATCGGAGGTCCTCTCGATATTCAAGATCAAGATCTCGCTGCTCTAATACCATATTAGAATTCGTGGGAGCATAGAATGGAGAGAGAAGAAAAGAGAACACAACATTTACATGGTCCAGGCCGAAGCCTTACATCCACAAATCCAAAGCCCAACTGGCTACATCTTCACTATTTTGAATGAATGTTTACATCAATAAGTTCCTCTATATATAGAGGACAATCACACAATTAGATAAGATATCTTTTAGATACCTAACCTTATCAAGAGGTATATACATATACATCCATAATGATGTATATCAATATGAACCGGATATATCCGTATCCTAACACAATTCGCATCCAAATCATGGGTGAGATGCATGGTGACATCCTTAGCTGTAACTTTGGGAGGGATAAGACCACAGCCCTAGTGGAAGAAAAGTATTTTTGCCCCAAACTAAAGGGAGATATCAGCCAGTTCATGGAGTCCTGCCAAGTGTGCCAGTTGGCTAAGGATCAGACTTAAACCACCAGCCTTTACACTCCCTTACCCATCTCCGACTGACCACGGACAGATCTGAGTATGGACTGTGTGATGGGGCTTCCCCCCACCTCAAGAGGGTGTGACTCTATCGTCATGGTGTGAGATAAGTTCTCTAATGGCTCGCTTCATTCCATGCGGAAACATTTTTTAGACATGACTCAATATTTTCTTTAAGGAAGAAAATTGGTTCAGCAGGGGGGAGGGGGGGGGGGAGTAAAATTGGTTCAGCAGGGGGGAGGAGTAAAATTGGTTCAGCAGGGGGGGCGAATGCCATTGTCGGAGTGCATTATCCGCCCTCTTGCCAACGGCTTGCGGCATCGCCTAGCGGCGCAGGAGGATGCAGGCGCCTAGGCACCTCAACACCTAGGCCCGTGCGCTTCGCCTAGGCTGCCTAGCCGCATAGGCAGCATACTAGGGGGCAAAGCATTTCAAACAGAGGTAGTTCCCAATTTTGAAGTATCTCTTTAATATTATTCTCTCACTCACTTCCAGAATTCCAATTATGACTTCCACATGTATTGTCAATCCAATTGAAATGATATTTGGAATGGAAACATAACGAACCACAAAATGAGAATCTATAAATATTTGATAAGCGAATAGAATATAATACTATGTACAAATTCGCTTCAGAAATAACATTGACAAAATCATCTTCTAAATCATCTTCTAATTAAATGAAGACTAGAAATAGCCTCGGTCAAGTTCTTAGTGGCCATAATATTGCAGCAATACTCAACAAAGTATGGTAGGTACACAACATACGATGAGTCATACAGGACCTTCAAAGATGCAAAAAATCGAGACCTATATTCAAATTCTCTACATAGAACATGCCTGTGGCAAGACAGAGAGGAGGGTCCTGAAAACTGGGTATATACTCTGGATGAGAATCTATTTCATCTCTGAGCCAGTTCAAAATGCCAGCACCACCCAAATCTTCTGAAGAGACTTGCACTGCCAAAGAAGCCACCACTACACTAATCGGCAAAACAAAGAGGTGAACCAGGAGTGACTTTCATGCTATGAGCATTGCTTAAACAAAATACATAAATTGCAGATAGCCATTCCACAGAAAATTACCTGTGTTCCAACTTTCGTTGGTCCATTGTGGAGCTTTTTGAGCAATGACTGCATTTAGCACAACTCCTAGGTCATGCAAAAGATGAAGAAGATATGGGGAATATGGTAAACGAGATAGAGCACATTGAAAAAGATTCAAATGCCTACAACTATCCATCAAGCATGAGTCATTCATCCGGCCCAAGAGACCACACCTTCAGAACCTAATACTACTGTGTACAAAAACGGGCATCTAATCGAGTTGATACATGCTAGCTACATGCATGAATTCACATGGTTAAACTACTTGCTCAAAAGATGCATGGTTTTGTACCATTCGCTTTCCTCTTTTTTGTCTTTTTAATGCTATTTGGTCCATTTCACTAAACAAATTCAATCAACTAAAGTTTTTCTACTATGCTTTGTCATTAAAAACTAGTGTAGGAATTCCTTACACATAGTAAATCACATAAGGGGCGAAAAGCTTCAGAAGGAAGTTCCTCGAAATCTCTCTGCACCTAAAAATTAAATGAAAAATTACTTGGGTTTTTTCAGTTAACTGAAATATCAATTGAAAATCGATGCCCAAACTAAAAGAAGAACTTCAAAAGATTGCAAAACATAAAAAGCAAAATTACTAAACTCAATGAACACACTTAAAGCCTACAAAAAGAATATATTACGCTTAGTTTTCAGTGTCTGAGCACAGAAAATAATACTTTCTAGGTTGCTGCTGGCATCATGAAGTAAACTATCAGACACCTGAAAGAATTGCAATTTGTTAAGAAAGATGAGTTATATCACATGGAAAAGTGTATATTACAATCAATACAAGCACCACACAAGCAAATAAGAGAAGCCTCTGTTTCACCATTCAGCAGCTGCAATACAACACCCATTAGGTTTTTCCAAGAAAGACCTACAGTTCTGCAGATAATGTACACTTGTTTTCATTACAAATGCAACCACAAGTTAAAATATGGAAAAAGACAAAAAAGGCAACCACAACGTTAGCAAAGCAACGAACTCACAACAGTACCCCACCCACACAACACAATGCATCCGTAAAATATATGCACCATGAAGTCAAAGAAAAGTTTCACTATCTAGACTGTTTTATCCAAAAAAAAAAACAGAGAGCGATAACTTATTTAACAAGTATACACTTTCTACTAATTTCAGCCAGTCCATCTAAGAAGTTGTTAGAAAATTTTGGAAAGGAAGTTTCTGATTTCCCTCCTATGTCAAAAAACAACCTTTTTTTGGGATAAGTCAGCACCAAGGTTTGAACCTAGGATGTATGATACAGAGTGCTTTCTGAAGCCATAATTTTTCATCCGAATGTCCCATCCAAAGCACAAAAGTGAGATGTCTTCGAGATCTAATCTCATGAAATGTTCGATCCAATTACTCACATGGACACCATATCTGCAAATCACCTACTATTATATAATAGACAGGGTCTCCATGAACAATAACTCAGACTCTTCTCTCTTCGAAAGAGTTCATCGCAACTACTTTGTCCAAAGAGACCATATAGTTTTGGCACAAGAGGTCATAACTACGTTGTCTATGAAATTTGAAATTGGGTATTGTTAAGAGTATCATTTACTAGACTCAAAATTCAAAAAAATGTTTCTTGAACATTATGGAATGTAGCAAGTGAAATGAGCTTGAGTTGCCAACCGGTGGAACACAGCAAGTGAAATGAATAATTAAAAGTGATTGTTACAGTGGCCACAACAGCACTAGTTTTTAAGGTTCTAGTACCAACTTAACCTTTAAATAAATGATTTCTCTGAGCTTCAAATATAAGCTTGAACACCCAGGCTCTCTCCCCTTCGCTATCCTCGCACGCTGAAAACAACTCATCTTTCTCTCTCCCCTTATCCGTCCTCACACTCTGCCGATGCCTCATCTCTCTCAAATCAAGGACCATGCCCCACCATACCCAACTACACAGGAATCCTATTCTTTTAATAGGCTTGTCCTGGAACTCTTCAGTGACACATTTTCCCCTATCCCACGCCGAACCCTGCTTGTTTGTGAAATGGAAAAACCTGTTTTTCTCATATGATAGAGATGTTCTAACATAAATACTCAAATCCATCGCTGTCCCATGTCGAACCCCACTAGTTTGTAGAACGAGAAAGATCTGTTTTTCTCATATGATAGAGATGTTCAAACATGAATGCTCCTAGGACAGCAGTCTATCACAGTAAAGTTGAATGTACCTTCCTGTTCATTGGATTGGAGTCCATGGACATGGGTTTAAATCACATTACCAGGCAAGATAGTAGAGGACAAGGGATATCTCAATGGCTACAACACCGACATCCAAGCTTGAAATCCCAGTTCACCCAAAAAATACAAGAAATGGATCCACCAAACTTAGAACCAACTTATGAAGACAGAGAAAAAGACTCACATTCATCCTCTAAATGCCTCATTTCTTGACCCAAGGCCACCACTACATTGCATATCTCTCTAGCTTCAGGATGTGACATATCATCAGTAGTGAAGCCATGCATCTTCTCCCCTGCATCAACCCAACTACACGCAACCTCTTTCCTCACTCTGCCATCTCTCATCCTCCTCCTAACCTTAGCTACCTCCTCCCAATTTCCTTCAGCCGCATACATGTTTGATAACAACACATAAGTTGCAGAATCCTTAGGCTCCATGGCCATCAATGCCTCGGCTGCCCTTTTTCCCATCTCAACCTCTCCATGATTTCGACATGCTCCCAATAAACTTTGCCAACCTCTAATGCTCGGTTGCCTCTTAACCACTTCCTCAGCTTCTCTAAGCCTACCTGCCCTTCCTAACATGTCAACCACGCACGAGTGGTGCATCGTGTGAGGCTCAATTCCATGCTCTAGAGCCATGCTTTCAAAGCATTGAAGCCCTTGATCCACCATACCCACTCGCCCACAAGCCGAGAGCACAGCTAAGAAGGTTACCGGGTCAGGGCTTACCGTCGCAATTCTCATCTCCTCAAGCAATGACAGGGCTTTGTGGCATTCACCATGTTGTGCATAGCCTGATATCATCACTGTCCATGTAACCAAGCTCCTCCCATCCATCTCACTGAAGACTCTTTCTGAATCCTCAATCGAGCCACACTTGGCGTACATGTCGATCAAAGCACTTCCTACAAAAACACATGAGCTAAACCCTAGCTTGGCCACTTGGCAATGGAGTCTGCGACCTAGACCTAAAGATAACAACCCTGTGCAAGAGCTTATGACGCTTCCAAATGTGAATTCATTTGGCCTCAATTCAACTACATTATCACAGCTTGCTAAGAGAAAATAAACTTCTATTGCTTCCTTGTATAGTTCATTTTGTGCATAACCAGCCATAATGGCATTATAAGGAACGATCTCTTGAGCATCTATCATGCCATCGAAGACTTTTTGGGATGAATCCATGTTCTGGAATTTGGCATACATGGTTATGAGGCTGTTGGCCACATTGATATCTTGGTCGAGCCCAGTTCGCACAGTGAGTCCATGGGCCTGTGGACCCAATTCCTCCATACCTTGGTCTGAGATTGAGTGGATGAGGGCCACAAATGTGACCTGGTTTGGGCTAACACCTTGTAGTCTCATCTCATTGAATAGGCCCAAGGCCCGGTGTTTGTACAGAGAGATCATGGATGTCCATGAGACTATGTTTCGGTGGACCATGAAATCAAAAACCCTCTCTACGTAGCCTAGAGTCGCTTCACTCTTGGAGTATAGTGATATCAACTTATTGCATACAGATACGTGCTTCTCTTTGTTGGTTCGAAGAATTTGGCAATGGCATTGCCTCCCGAGTTCGATCTTCTGTTTGCCCACACAAGCTGAGAGAACACTTGCAAATGTTATGTGGTCAGGCTTTGGACCATGGCCATGAACCATGTATGCAAAAAGCTCAATGGCTTCATTCCCATAATTATCTTCCCCCTGTGTGTGGTAACCAGAGATCATGGAGTTCCAAGAGACCAGGTCCTTGAAGACAATCCCATTAAACACTTCCTTGGCTTCTGTTATTGAGTTACACCTAGCATACATGGAAACCAAAGCATTTTGGACAAAGATTTCTTGGCCATGGCCATGAATTACTGAGAGAGCATGGATCTGGCGCCCAAGACTTAGCTCTGATAGGCTCGCACAAGCACTAAGAGAGCTCGTAAAACTCACACTATCAAAACTGGGCATTTCAGAGGCTTGCATTTGGAGTAAAACCTGTATGGCCTCTCGCTCCATCTGGTTCTGAGCAAAGCCGGCAATGGCTGTGTTATAAGTGATCAAATCTTTCTGGGGCATGGCCCTGAACATCTTAATGGCTTCTTGGGGTTGTGCCATCTTAAAATAGAGGTTCAATAAGGAGTTGCAGACTGTTACATGCGATTGGAAACCAATAACAATGGCGTGGGATTGGATTAGTCGGCCAATGTTGAGCCCAAAAGGCCCAATTGAGCAGCATGCCTTGAGAGCAAGGGCTAGTGTGACATGATGGACAGGTTGCGATAAACTCTTTCGAAGAGAGAAGAGTCTGAGCGATTGTTTATGGAGACGTTGTCTATTATACAATGATAGTAGGTGATTTGCAGATACGGTGTCCATATGAGTAATTGGATCGAACATTTCACGAGATTGGGTTGCTTGGTTGTGTAAAGAAGTTGGGGTGCTGGATTTTTTTGGGTTTTCATGAAAGGGGAGAGAACAGAGCGACAGAGCGTTTTCATGGAGGGAAGAGAGAGAATGGGTGCAAACAGGATGGTGGTTTTGCAATGGGAGAAGGTGAGTGTTTCTGAGAAGGGATTTTGTGGGGTTAGTGAAGTAGAACATGAAGCTGGCATGGGGAGAAAGCCAGCAGGGGAAGGGTATGTTTGCTTTGCGTTGGTGGGTTAATTTCAAATCTCTGAGAAATGATGTCCTCGCTCTCTCTTTTGGTGGGTTGATTATTTTAAGGAAAAGGTTTATATAAGGTTGCAACGGTAGAATTGAAGATGCACCTCATAAATGTATTGGAAAAATGCACCTCATAAATGTATTGGAAAAGGTTGTTCATAAATGTATTGGAAAAAGTGGCTTGAATGTTAAAAACCTTTTAATTGATTATCTTGACGTCCATATGTATAAATATGAAAAAAAATATTAAGATTTTGAGTCTTAAAAATTATGCATTTGTCAACACATTATGTGGCCTGCCCATTTTCAAGATTTTCATATGTTTATAGATCTAATTGATTTTAAATATTTTTAAAGTTTAATATTTTATAATTAGATATAAAAATAGATTTTCAGAGAATTCTAAAATATTTTACACCAAATAACATGTTGTGATAAAATTTGGAGGTACGCTTTAATTGGATTGTTTAAGGTTGCAATCTTATAGAAACCACTCTTTTATTTGAATCCTCTTAGTCTACAACCTCCAACAAGGAAAAGGAAAAATTGCAAAAACCTACAAGATGGATTTTTTTTGCATTTTACCCTACACAACTTTTCATAACAACTCCCCACAAAAAATCATTTTTCCTAGCAAATACCCCAATACTAAAAGTTAATTTTTTTAAAATGAAAATACTCTTCCCTCATGTAACCAATCATTTTTGGATCCCAATAGAAGGAAACGTCGGACTTTACTTATAAAATGCCTGCTCACTTCAAAAGCTGGACCGCTATTCAAAACGTCAGACTGTCCCTTCAAAATGTCGGACCGTCATATCAAAACACCGGACTGTCCCTTCAAAATACAAGATCGTAACTTCAAAACGCCGGACCGCCTATTCCAGCAAAAAATAATCACCGGACCGCCACCATGAAACATCGGACAGCCACCATGAAATGTTGGACAGGCCATTCCAGCAAAAATAATCATTGGACCGGCCATTCTAGCAAAAAATAATCGCAAAAATAATCGTCGAACAACCACTATGAAATGCCGGACCGACCATTCGAGTAAAAATAATCTTTGGACCGCCTATTTAAAATGCCGAGCCGCCCTCTCCAACGAAAATAATTTGTTAGGTGAGGGAAGGGTATTTGTTTCCAAAAAAAATAATAATAAACTTTTGTATAGGGTATTTGCTGAGAAAAGTTGAGTAGGTAGAGTGCGTAAAAAAATCAATTTTGAGGAAGTTTTTGCAATTTTCCAAACGAAAATCTCTCTCTCCACCATTCATCTCCCCATCCCTAGCTCCGTTGGTCTACAAAAAAAGAGAGAGAAAGCAAAGTAAGGAGACAGATCCTCTCTACAAATGAGCCCCTATCCTCATCCAAACCAGCAAAAGAAACCAAGTGTGGCCTGCTGCATCATTCCTCACCAACTTTAGAGTAATCGCCCCACACACACCAACTTTAGAGTGATCCCCCCCTCCCTCCCCTCCCCTCCTTCAAAGACTACCCATGATACTCAACTATTCCACAAAATCATCATCTCAAAGCAAGAGACTCATCATCTCAAAGCATCACTTGCCCACACAGCTTAGCTTCCCAACAAGTAAACGGCAGTGAGCACCTCCCTTACGACATTCTCCAAAACTATTGAATCTGCGAAATCATCCCTGCAAATTCATGAAAATTAACTTTAATAAAAATTAAATTTTTATGCTGACCTATCAACAAAAATATACCTGTCTTGAAAGGATGACCTAAAAGTTTTCATGAAAATTAAACTTTAATGAAAATTAAACTTTAATGAAAATTAAAGTTTTATGCTAGCCTAATGTTAAGAGTATGGGAGACAGAATGAGTACACAAGAATTTATGTGGTTCAGCCAATTGAACCTACATCTACGAAAGGAGAATTAATCTGTATTATTATGACTCTACTATAGCTCCCTTGTACAGATATATAGAATTGTACATGATAACATTCTATATTGAGTCCACAATAGGAAACAATAATCTGCGTGATTAAGGGAAATCAACATGATTTAGGAAAGCTAGCTAATATGCAGATATCACTAGGATACACCAGGCTGTCTCAACACTCCCCCTCAAGTTAGTACGAAGAGATTGAACGAGTCCAACTTGTCAAGAACACGGATGAATTTTTCCTTGCCAACCGCTTTAGTGAAGATATCTGCAAGTTGATTTTTATTGTTAACATGAGGAATACAAATCATCTTAGCTTGAACCTTCTTCCTGACCAAATGACAATCAACTTCAATATGTTAGTTCTTTCATGAAAAAAATGATTAGTTGCAATATGGATTGCAACTTGGTTATCACAAAATAATAGCATTGGTTTGGCTGACTTGAAACCTAAGTCATTGAGAAAAGATTTTAACCAAATTAGTTCACAAGTTGTGGACGCCATGGCACAGTATTCTACCTCAGCACTGGATCTAGCGATAACATTTTTCTTTTTATTTTTCCATGTGGCAATATTTCCACCAATAAAAGTATAAAAACCTGTGTTTTTATCTGAAGGGTTACCAGCCCAATATACATCACAATAACCAATTATGTTTTCATGTCCATTGTTTTTCATCCAGATTCCATAACCAGTGGAAGATTTTAAATATCTTAGAATTCTAGCAACGGCCTGCATGTGAGAAGATCTGGGGTTATGCACCATGCTCACAGTATAGGTGATATCTGATCTAGTTATTGTTAAGTAAATTAAGTTTCCAACAATTCGTTGATATTTTCCAACATCTTGAAGAGGTTCACCATCCTCGATGGAGATCTTGCTGTTTATCTCAGCTGGAGTATAAATATGTTTAGCTCCAATTTTACCAATTTCTCTTAAGAGATCTAAGGTATATTTCTTTTGTGAAAGAAGCAATCCTTTCTAAGAATAAACAATCTATACCAAGGAAATACCTTAATTTTCCTAAATCTTTAATATCAAAAACGTTGTCGAGATATTTCTTTTAGTTAATCAATACCTTGTATGTGGCTCCCAATGACTTTAATATCATCAACATATACTGACGGAATTCCTGTTAATAAACATCGAAGAATCAGCAGCACTTCTAGTAAAACCATTATTTAATAAGACACTGTTTAACTTGGCATACCATGCCTTAGGAGATTGTTTTAAGCCATATATTGTTTTCTTTAGTTTGCACACAAGATCTGAATTTTTTTTAGGGTGTCCATGAGGTATTTCCATATACACCTCTTCTTCTAAATCAACTTGAAGAAAAGCATTTTTAACATCGCGTTGGAACAAAGGCCAATTTTAATTTGTTGCAATTGAAAGAAGAACTCTAATGGAGTTCATTTCGGCCACAAGTGCAAAAGTTTCTTTATCGTCTTCACCATAAGTTTGTGTAAACCCTTTTGTAACCAACCTAGCTTTGTGCCTTTCAATTGTACCATCACTCTTTGTACTTGATTTTATAAACCCATTTATTTCCAACCACTTTCTTTCATTTGGGTAACTTGAAAGAAGAATACTGTGCCATGGCGTCCACAACTTCCAAGAGGCTATTTCCAAGTCAGTATTCTTCAAGGGCCCAAAGTTCTTCTTTTATAACCTTTTTCCAAACTGACTTGGAAATAGCCTCTTGGAAGTTAGCCGGTTCCATATTGGAAGAAACAGAGCTAAGATAAAAAAAGTAATGTTGAGAGATATGAGAGTAATCAACAAATTATTCAATAGGATAGGTGGAAGCATTATGGGTATAAAAATCATGAAACTTACTTGGGAGGCAAGTGGTACGTTGAGATCGACTAATAGAAGGGGGGGCCACATGAGAGTTGATTTGGTGAGGTTCAGCTTGAGGTGGTTCTTCATGAGGAACTTCAACTACTTCTCCTCCATTCTCATTGTCATCATTTTTATCAAAATTATCAAGAGTGATGTTAGGCATAACCATATGTGAATCCCCCTGAACCAAATTTTCCTTAGTGGAAACAAAATATGGTTCATTTTCTCAAAAAGCAATATCACAGGAAATGATAACCTGTTGGTTGATTGGATCATAGCATTTATATGCCTTTTGAGTGTGACAATATCCGATGAAAATACATTTTTTTTGCTTTGGCGCTTAATTTATCAATATTTTGACTGTGCACAAAACAGACACATCCAAATATTTTGAGATGATTCAAAGAAGTCTTCTTTCCTTTTAGAACTTCCACAGGAGATCTATTTTTGAAAAGCTTGTTTGGCCATCTATTGATTAAGTAACATGTTGTTAAAACAACATCTCCCCAAAAAATGTTTTGGCATATTGCTCTGAAACATCAGAGCTTGAGTGCGTGGTGATTCTTGCATTCAGCAATCCCATTTTGTTGGGGAGTTCCAATGCAAGAAGTTTGGTGAATAATTCCTTTTTTTTTAAGATAAGTAGAAAAATTGTTGTTCACATATTCTATCACATTGTTAAATTGCAACACTT